GGGCCACACGGCTGACGTGGGGTATGGAAGTACCACTCAAGGTCTGATTGACTCCAAGTCCTGATCTTCAGCACAGGGTGGCTGCAGAGAGCACGTGGTTGTACTGTCCGAGTCAGAGTCAACTGTGTCCATAGAACACTGCAGTCTCCACAACCAGCCGGCTCATTGTGTCCTTTTCATGCAAAGGTCCTGAGGCCGAGGGAAGAAAAACAGAGAACCCCTCGGCCCCTGGTCATTGTTTCTCACTCACCTTCCTGAACTGAATGAAGGGGTGACAAGAGAGGAAGGAGAGGGCCTAGAGCCCCAGGGAAGATGACACATGACATGTTCCCTCTTTGTTCCCACCCGATACTGACTCTGGAGCTCCCTTTGTCAAGCCTCTGCTGGGTTCCAGGAACAGAGATAAAAGGCACAGCCCCTTACTTCAAAGAGCTCACCAAATGTTCCCTCATTCCTTAGTTTTATACAGATAAATCCAGCAATTCAATCCAGCGTATTCACGTCAGTGTCAGAGATTTACAAGCTACCGAAGGAACAAAGTTGTCAATAACTGGACTCAGTGTCTGTATCAAACATTCCTTGAGCCTTCAGGTGACAATTCAGTCGGCAGTAACCTGCTCTGGTTAAATGTGGGACACCATTAATGGGTAGGCAGCCCATCTAGAGAGCTAATAAAAGTGCAGCCTACAGCTTCCCCATCTTCTATCATGGTGTAAGCACACGACAGCACAAAGGGGGAAAGACAAGGCTGTTTGGGGCTAGGGGAGAGGAGCCCAGGCTCTCCAGCTGCCCTGAAGACTACCAGGGGCTGGCGTCACTCGCTAGACATCTGCATCTCATTGTAAGCAGGGTTGGGAAGCTCTGACAGGAAGATGAGGGCTTAGATCAAAGGCGTCAACAGTGGAACATTACAACTGATAGAGACCTGAGGCAGAAGCCTGGGATGACTGCTTTGTAACCTGTGCTCCTGTAGTACTCATATACTATAGATACATCGCTATGGGAACCGTCAGCACCAGATCTCAAGTTCAATGACACAGACCATGTCTCAATTCACTTTGACACCCACAGTACCACACACGAAGCAGATCCGTCATCACTGATGTTTCTTCGGTTCCTTCAGCCACCCTTCCTCAGTGACAACTCCACTGGGGGCACGGGGGCTCTCCAGATCTAACCAAATGGTGACAGCAATGGCCCTTTACAACTACCACCACCCACTCAAGGCTGAACTCCTGGTGGAGGATGGAGACAGACTCCAGGCAACTACCAGTCATTCAGGCAAGAAGTCAGGTTTGAGGCAGAACCAAGAGTTTCAGATTTGGGTGTAAGGAAAGGAAACTGTCTGAGTTTCACCTTTACCGAGTGAAAGGTGGCACAGAAATCCCAAGACCCAGCTCTTTTATCCATGCTTGCTCTTAAATTTCCAACAAAACTCACAGCAAAACCTGGCCCCAAGACACAGTTTGTGTCCATCTCCCTGAGTACTATGTAACGAACTGCAGGCGCTTAACCACCAATCACAAGGTGCAGGTCAGGGCCCCACTGTGTGGGTGACGCAACCCAATAATGCTGCACTTCACATGCATAAAATGTGTACATTTTTGAAGCATAAAACAGAGAGCTGAGGCTTCAAATGGTGACTTTGGATTTACCACTCCAATGTGAAGGAGGCAGCATGCTTTAATGAAGGAAAAAGCAACTGTGTGTCTAACGCAGCCTGGAGACAAACAGAAACAGGAACCATTGAAAGACATCCTCCTCCCACACATGACTTCCCTTATAGGGAAAGGGCGGGACACTGTTTTTCCTTTGCATCCAGCACCTTTTCATTTTCCCAGTTTCTAGATGTGAACAACCATTTCTCCACTTGCCAGACACCGGACACTTTTTTCTGAAGACAACTGGTAGACTGGCCAAAATGCTTCACAGGTCCTGTAAACAGCTTTTGCTCCTCACAGACAAGACTCGGGATTGCTGTTAAGCTGTAGTCATACTCATCCAAGACCCCTGCTTTCCACTCTTCTCAAGGAGAAGTCTGACATGGAGCAGTGCTGTCATTGTTTCTCAGTCCTCTCCATGGTGACAACCCTATTATGGGCTGTATGGTTTCCAAATTGCACATCACCATAGGAAAAGCCTTTCACAACCCATCTGTCACTATCACTGTCCCTGCAAGTCCCCAAACTTTGCACAGTGCTTTTTCCTAGCAACTCCAAGCCTTTGCCCCCTGCCTCTCCCCCCCTCCACCTCCAAGCTACAAGCACATAGCCCTGCAACGCACCCTGCGTCTACCAGGTGCAGCTGCTATGTCCTTTCTAGGGCCCCACTCTTCTTCCAGCTGCGGTTGGGATGCTCCCTCCAATTGCCACCACTCTGATGCCGAGGCCCAAGGAGTCCCGAATGCATTAATCTGATTTTGGGGGAGCTGTGGGGGTTCGTGTGTTAAGTGACTCACTCCTTACTATGCCTGGTGCTTTAGTCTGTGTGTTTAGTGCTCAATTTCATCTTACTGTAAGGGCAAAAAATAGTTAACAGCAGCAAAGGGTAATTTGGAAGTGGTATTTATACAGATGCTGGCTAGCAAACACAATGCTACTTCCTTTGCAGTGTAGATGCTAGAGGCGGAGGTGATACCACTCTTCCGGAAAGCTCCGTGCTGGCTGCATGGGAACTAAACTGAAGCTAAGACTTGAAGTCAATAGTTTAAAAAATGCCAAAAAGTTAGTATGAAGCATCATACAACTCAACTTATGCTAGATTAGTCCCAGTTTAGAACAGGGGTTGGCAGAATTTTCCTGAAAAAGGCAAAATAAACGTTTTTGGCATTGGGGGTTCCTGGTGTACACCTTTGTAGCATGAGAGCAGCTATCGATAATATGCAAACAAGCAACAGTACTGTGTTCTGGTTAAATAATTTACAGACATTGATAATGGAATCCTTTTCACATTGTGAAATAGTCTTTTGATACTTTTTAATCATTTAAAAATGTGAAAACTATGTTGGGCTCATAGACCAGATTTGGCTCACAGGGATGTATCACTGCAGTTTGCCAGCCCCGCACAGGGCAGCAAAGTGAAACAAAAGGGACAAAAGAGGACAGCTGAAAGGACATGTTGACCAGAGCCTGACTGCTAGGAAACCCACAGAAACTTGGCCAGCAACTATCCATTCCCTGGAACTGCTTACTTTTGGTTGAACACTTTGTAGTGGTCTGAGGCTGCTAGGGAAAAAGGGAATTCTACTGCAATCTCTAACAGCCCTCCGTGTGGCAACCATGAACCCTGAGTCACATTCCGTCTAGTACCCCACCTGTGTGTGGACAAAGAACAGAAACAAACTACTCCTGAGAATATGGTAACCCAATAGCATCGATGCAGTGTCTGCCTCACTGCTACATTCGCCAGTCCACTGAAGAAAATCAAAGCACTAGTGATTACAGCATCGTGAACTTTTTAATCCAAACTTCTATGCGGCAGAATCATTTAAAAAATGAGAAATGCAATGCTGGGTGTATTGAAAATAGTTTATCATCAATTCTCTAGAACCCTAGCCATCTAGTACAGGAGGAAAAGTATGTGGTGGACACTTCAGTAATTTTAAACAGTGAAAAAATATTTGACTAGAGGATGGCAGAACTTTAACAAATACAAACGTAGGCTTCCTCACATTTTCTGTAGAGCAACTATAACAGTAAAAACATTTCAAGAAACAGATGGAAGAATACCTAAAACGTCAAATTTCGAAGTCAAATAGCCACTTTTACATTAGATTTAGCAAAATGGTTTGCAAATCAAAAAGCTAACAGCAAAGTCACGGAAAGCTGCTTTCTTTTACAGGGGCTTCAGGTCCATCAGGAAGCAGAGGAACACAGGTGGCCACGACCTGCCGCTGGGTAACTGTCAATCCCACTACTTGTAATTCTGTTGTCCAAGGGCAAGAACTCCACGCCACCAGTTTCTGCTGCTGTGTTCTTCGGGTGTCCGAGGTGCTCTACGCAATGAGGGAGCGTGCCGAACTAACACCACAGAGCATGTCGTCATCCAACCAGAAGTACCACCCTGTTCCCACCTCATTACTCTGTCTTGAAAGATGAATGTATTTATAAATTCTCATTTTCTTCTCCTGAAACTTTATGCACGATTCATTATAAAACACACAGGTAATACGAAGTCCAAAGGCCTATCGTGTTTATGGAAGAAACACCTGAAAATTAAACTATATGACTAATGGGGGAAATCATGGTACCATTTATTTTTGTAAGTGACGGGTTACAAATGCATGATGTAAAAGCTTAAAATCATCACCAAACTGTGCTAAGGATATTCCAACATTGTGGGGGAAAATCTGTGCAAATTCATCTTCTTATTCGGGATCAGATGGGAGGAAAAAAAAAAAATTCTTTATATACTCTTGTTTATATTCAGGCATAAGATTTAAAAAACTGAGTGCGTAGACAACTGCTTCCTCCTTATGGCCTAATAACAATACCAACGAAAAAGAATCGAAAGGAAAAAAGCTGAGATTAAAACAAGAAAATCCAAATAAAAGCCAACACTGCTATTAAGATTTTTCTTTGAAAAAATGTGATATCCTGATTGTGTATTTTCCAACGTACTTTTCCAGCCATATCCCTCAATCCTTCTGAAAGATTCCACCAGGTTTTCTTTCCAATGCAATAAAGGATGCTGGATATAGTTTCAACCATCTTCTCTTTTTGAGAGCAATATAATCCTAAGGACTTTAATGGCCATACATTCTTATCTAATAAAGACATTTACAAATACCAGAAACCTAGTTTTGAAACATTTGCAGCAATTTTTCACTGAATCAGCGTTTTGTGGGTTTAAAAAAGGCAGCAGCTGGAAATCACGGCTCGCTGGTAAACACAAGTCTGCAGAGGGAAGGGGACGAGAGGGAGAGTAATGCTGCGTTTCTCCATTGGCCCCAAAAGTGCTCATGTCACAAAAGGATACATCAAAAGCAAACATGCAATGGCTGTTTGAAAACTTTTACTGCAATATAACAATGAAGTAAACAGTAATTAGACATCTATCAATTTTCTCCCCAAACAAAAAATTGTAAACAGGAAACTAACTGTGCCTATACTTGTACAGCTTCTCAAATTGTGTTAGAAGGATCTCACATTCAATGATCAAGAACTTTTAAAATAGCAGTAATAATTTTCATTTTAAGAAAAGGTTCTTCTCCCCCCCGCCCCATGTATTTAACATGAAAGAATAGGCTGCCTTACACGTTAATTTTATACTTATTTGAAGCAGCAACAATAACCATCAATCATTTTGCATTTCTGTTTACAGTTGCTCCAAAATTTTTTCAATTTCACAAAGCCATTATCCAGTGTTGCCATGAAACAGAGACCGTACATTCTAGGGAGCAAAAGTTCTTTCTGAAACCAATGTTAAGTCAAAGAAATACAAAGCAGGGCATTACACTAAATTTCTGGATCTATTACACTAAAAAGAATGAAACCTAGGAAAAGTTACCTACTGTTTTATAGAAGAAATAAAGACCTGCAAAAGCTGATTTTTGGTTGTATAGTATTTTACACACTGTGTGGATTTGCAGCATCTGCTAATTTATGCAGACATGCACTGTATTTATCCCTGCCCTACACCCTAGATCCCTCCCTCCCCACCCCCAACCATCTACTACCTTATACCAAGTACTGTGGATATGAGCCCAAGTCATCCCAGACAATCCAGTGAACAAAGTTAGTGTAATGCACTGGGGTGAAGTGTGAGATTTAAAAAAAAAAAAAAAAAAAAAAGTCCCTCTCAATCTTCATCAAAGTTTTGCTGTAGAAGAAAATTGGCAGCCAAATTCTCATTCTTCTCACAAGCAAAATATGCTTGTATCACAAGTCCTTCAGGAAATCCTAATGCTTTTAACTGGAAGAAAAAAAAGAGAAAAAAATAAATAAATATAACCCATCAATTACTATACATCTAATTGTGTCTCTCTCTCATGGATCCCAGCACAGCATTACTGGCAGATCATACCTGAAAACATACTACACAAAGGACATTAAACCACTCTCGAGGATTTGATATGAATTTATCCCTATCAGAATATGGATGTAAAGTCCAATCCAAAAAGCCAGATGGAACTAGGGCCTTTCTCTTTAAGGATTGTAAGTCCTTGTTCCCAGCTAAAGCTGTCACATACATAGACCAACAATCACTATGTTAACATTCTCTGGCATTAACTAAAATTTAGTTGTAAAATATGGCTTAAAAATAAATGACCCTTCCTGAAACTATGGCTCCTCACTCCTGTGGCTCAACTGTCAAGTGAGCAATGGACAGGTCTGCGAGCTGAACAGTTATGCCAGGGAGATGCACTCCTTACAACAGTCACCCATGGGAGTTCAGAAAGGTAGTCATCTGTGTAGGGTAAATTTGGGAGGCAGGAATGTACAGGAAGGAAGGGCACAGGGAAGGAGCAACCATAGGGAGGAAGTGAGAAGAAAGCCAGTACATTGTGGGGATCATAATCAGTGTCACAAAACAAAATGTTAAGAACTGTTGAAGGTAAAACCAACCTGCTTTGTGATCTCACCCAAACTACAATAGTAAGTTTACCCACACACATCTATGGCGAACTGATTTTCGACAAGGGTGTCCAAACAAATTTAATGGGGGAAAGAGAAGCCTTCAACAGATGTTTGAGATAGTGGGTATCTACATGCAAAAGAATGAAGCTGGATCTCCCAACATCTCACCACATACAGAGATGAAAACGGACCCCCAGGTCTTGGTGTAAGAGCTAAGACTGTAACACTGAGGAGAAAACAGAGGAGCAAACCTTTGTGACTGACTCGACGGCACATAACAACAGTTTCTTTGATATGACACTTTTTAAAGCACTACCAACAACAGATAAATTGCGCTTTATTAAAACTAAAAACTTCTGTGCATCTAAACACTGTGTCAAAAAGTGAAGAGACAACCTATAGCACAGAAGAAAATACTTGTCAACTATGTTCCAGTATTTAATATTTAGAATCTAAAAGAACTCCTACAACAAAAACGTATCTTTAAAATGGGGAAAAGACTTGAGTAGACATTTCTCTAAAGAAGATACACAAATGATCAATAAGCACATGCAAAGATGCTCAACATCCTTACAGAAATCAAAACCACAACGAGATATTACTTCCCAACCACAGAGATGGCTTACTATCAGGAAAACAGAGAACTCCAAGTGCTGCAGGTGGGAATGTAAAACGGTGCGGCCACTGTGGCGAACAGCAGGATGGTTCCTCCAAAAGTTAAACAGAGAATTACCATGTGACCTAGAAATGCCACCCCTAAGAGTAAACCCCAAAGACTCAAAAGCCAAGACTTGGACAGACAGCACAGCAAAGCTCACTGCACCATGATTCCGAGCACTCAACAACAGATGAATGGATTAACAAAATGTGGTAAATAAGTATGATGAATTATCATTCAGCCAAAGAGAAATGAAGTTCTGATACATGAACTCTGCAAACATAATGCTGGTAAGCCAGACATCAAATACTACATGATTCCTCTTACAAGAACTTTCTAGAATAGCCAATGCAGAGACACAAACATTTATTACAGCAGTTCCCAGAGACTGCGGGGAGGACTTACTGCTTTAGGTGCATGGCTCTGATCCAGGGTGCTGAGAAACACTGGGGACTAGACAGTGATGGCTGCGTAACATGGTGAACCTAACTGATGGCACTAAATTGTACCCTTAAAACTGGTTAAAATAGTAAATTTCTGGTTTTATATATATTGTGCCATAATAAAATTTTAAAAATAAGTGATTCTATGTAACTTGTAAACTAACTGGCTCTTAATGTGAGAGTGAAGAGGAGGGCGTGAGCACCCGGTGGAGGTAACTGGAACTACTTCATCTCATTATTTGGAAAGCCAAGTCATGGCTTTCATTAGGATCAAACATGACTCAACTTCCTTGCCTTAGTCAACACCTCATACTAGAGAAATGGGTGATCAATGACAACTAACAGTACATATCTGAGATCGAGACACGTAGTGTTCTATTTTGCTCCTTAGTTTTTCTAACATTTTAAATGGTATTAGTCACTAATAGCATAGTGCCTAAGGCACTTGACTACTAACCAGAAGGCTGGCAGTTCGAACCCACCAGGCACTCCTCAGAAGGAAGATGGGGCAATCTACTTCCATAGTGATACTGCCTCGGAAACCCAAGGAGGGGTCGCTATGAGTCGGGGCCGACTCAACGGCACGTAACAACAACAACAGTCAAAAATCACTTGTAACTCAGCAGTCATGACTTTGACTCAGGCCAAATTATCAAATTTACTAAGCACTGCACATCTGTCATCCAAAGGTTATTTATGAATATACCCTTAATGGGCCTAATCGGTTCAGTCTTGCATTTTAAAATGGCTTTTAAAAACAGCATTAAAAAAAAAGTAAGAAACTCAGAACGGATTTTATTGTTTTCTATATCTTGTCCAGATTAAGAGTTGGTTACCTAAAGTAAATGGCAGAAGGAACGTGATCCAACTTTATGCTTCTACAAAGTACAGACTTTAGATTCAAAGACACAAATAAATTGAAACTAAAAGGATGGAAAAAGATATACACCATGCAAACAACAACCAAAAGCAAGTTTGAGTGGTTCTACCAATACCAGACAAACTAGACCTTAAGATAAAAACTGTTACTAGAGAGAAAGGGCATTTTATGACGATAAAAAGGTCAGAAAGGCATCACAATTACAAACATATACAACAGAGCCCAAATAGAAGCAGCAATGACAGAATGGAAGGGAAAGCAAGACAACTCATTATTAACAGAAAACTTAAAATAATAGCTGGAGTCTTCAATATCCTCGCTTTCAGTGACGAATACAACCAGCCAGAAGATCGACAAGTAAAAAGACTTAAACAGCAGCACTCTAAACCAGCTAAGGCGCTCTGGCGGTGTAGTGTTAAAAGCATCTGCCTGCTAACCAAAAGGGTCGTGGTTCAAACTCACCAGCCACTCTGCAACAGAAAGATGAAGTACTCTGCTTCCTTTAAGATTTACAGCCTTGGAAAGCCTATGGGGCAGTTCTACTCTGTCCTACAGGGTGGCTGTGAGTCGGAATTGACTTGATGGCAGTGGGTTTGGTTTTGGTATAAACCAGCTAGACCTACCAAAAACCAAAACCAAACTCATTGCCGTTGAGTCGGATCCAACTTATAGTGATCCCTTCCTTGGGTTTCCAAGGTGGTATCACTATGGAAGCAGATTGCCCGACCTTCCTTCAGAGGAGTGGTCGGTGGGTTTGGACCACCAATGAGACATCTATAAAACGCTTCACAGAACAAAAGCAGAATACACATTATTCTCAAGTGCAAAAGATATATTCTCCAGTCAGACCTTATATTAGGTCCCAAGAAAAGCCTAAATAAATTTGAAAGAACTAAAATCTTACAAACTGTTTTCTGAGCACAATGGAATGAAATTAGAAATTAGTAACAGAAGGAAATTTGGGGAACTGGCAATTAAACAACACAATCCTAAGTAATCAATGGATCACAGAAGAAATCAAAAGGAAAATGAGACAATACTTGGAGATGAATGAAAACAAAACATCCTACTACTTCTGGATGCTACAAAAGTAGAGCACAGAAGGGAGCCTCCCAGCAGCTGATACCCCGACAGACAAAACGATGCTCAACAAGGCAACCCACCATCTCATGCAATCAGAAAGACAAGAGCCAGTTAAAGCAAACGCAAGCAGGAGAGCAAAACCACGACGATGAAAGAAGTAAACCAGACAAGAGAAAAAACAGGTGAAAAGCAACAACAAAACAAAAAGGTGTTTAAAATGGTCACAAAACTGGCAAACCTTCAGCTATACGGACCAAGAAAAAGAGGAAAGAAGACTCAAATTACTGAAATAAAAAATGATAGTGGGGACATGACCTCAGAGAAATAAAAAGGATTATAAGGGAATATTATGAGTAATTTTGTATGCCCAGGAAGAAGAAGGTCAGTCCAAACAATGATCAAAGCAAAGGAAGACACTGGGAGGACCAGAATTAAAGGCAACAGAAGTAACTGTCATTGCATGCAGCCCTGCAGTAAGAGCAGTAACACTAGTCTATGAGTGGGCACACAGACACACACCAACTGAGCAGGTGTGGGAAGGTGAACAGCACCACACCCAGGAACACATACAATTCTGCCAGAGGGTATTTCTACCTATGTATTTATATGTGCTGCAAATGAATGAATGAAATAAAGCACACGGGGGCAAAGTTACGAAACTTCTTAGCCATAACCAAACACCGTGAGGCAATGAGTCGTTGGGCCTGGGGGCTAAGGACCATAGTTTTGGGGAACATTAAGGTCAACTGACATACACAGTCCTAAAGACAATGTTCTACATCCTACTTTGGTGAGTAGTGACCAGGTCTTAAAAGCTTTTAAGCGGCCATCTAAGATGCAAACTACTGATCTCTCCCCATCTGGAGCAAAGAAGAGTGAAGAAAATCAAAGACAGATGGAAACAATTAATCTAAAGGACTAATGGAAACAGAGACTGGTGAGACCCCTGAGATGATGGCCCCGAGTCACCCTCTGGGCCTGGAATTGCATTCACTCCCATGGCTTTAGCTTCCAGCCAAGCAACAGGCCACGAGGTGAACAATCACACCAGGCAGGTACACTCCTTGGAATAATCAGCCATGGAGAGCAGACGGGCAGCATTTGCACAGGGATATAACTCAGATGGCAGGGAAGAGGGACACAGGGAAAAGGTAACCACAGAGATGAAGGGAAAGAAAGCTGTTACACTGTAGGGATACAATCAATGTCACGAAACAAAATGTCTATGAACTTTTGTATATAAAATGAATCTGCTCTGTAAACTTTCACTCAAGTCATAATTCACACACACACACACACACACACACATACACACACAACCTATTGGATCCCAGCCTCCACTGAGAAAAACTAGATGGTACATGGCTATCACTGCCAACTGCTCTAAAAATAGGAGGTCCTGCATAGAGAGGGAGAAAAATGTGGAACAAAACTCAAAATAATAATAAAAAAGACTGGTCTGACAGGGACTGGTAGAACTTCCAAGACTGGCCCACAAGCACCCTTGGTGACTAGAACTGAATTGACCGCGTCTCAACTTTCAGCCAAACAATAGACAGACCTATAAAGTGAACAATAACACTAGGGACGGGTATGCACTCCTTAGAACAATCAACCATAGGAGACCACAAGGGCAGCATCTGCCCAGGGAACAAGCTCAGAAGGCAGGAAGGGTCAGGAAAGAAGGACTGAGGGAAATGGTAAACACAGAGAAGAAATAGAAGAGTGCTGTTACATTGTGGGGATTGCAATCAACGTTTCTCTCCCTCTCCCTCTCTCTCTCACACACATGGACATGTAAGAACTGCTGAATGGAAAACCAATTTTCTCTGTAAACTTTTACCCAAATCACAAATGATAGTTAAAAAAAAGTAAATATGAAAAAAAATGTATGCCCAATAAATTAAATAACCTAGATGAAAGCGGCAAAATCTTAGACATAAACTACTGAAACCAACTCAAGAAGCAGCAGAACACCTGAAGAGACCCTGAACCGAGATTAAATTAGTAGTCAAAACCTTCACAGAAAAGCCCATTCCCAGGTAATTTCACTGGCTAATTACCAACAATTCAATTAACAATTCTTCATAAACTCTTCCAAAAAAACAGAAAAGGAGGGACTACTTCTGCTTAGTTGTCTAGTGCTGCTAGAAATACGAAACGTAGATGGCTTTAAGAAACACAGTTCATTTTCTCACAATTTCGTAAACTATAAATCCAAACCCAGGGTCAGGGTGCTGGCTCCAGCAGAAGTCTCTGGAGGAAGTCCTCATCCCTCCTAACCTTCTGCTCCTGGGGTGGCTTGACATCTCTCCCTCCCCAAAGTCTACTTATTTAATCTCTTTTATAGCTCATAAGAGATTGGCTCAAAATACATCCTAATCTGTCTCATTAAGATAACAAAGAGAACTCATCCCCAAATGGGATTACAGCCACAGGTACAGAGGTTAGGATTTACAACACATATTTTGGAGGAGACAATTCAATCCTTAACACCCTTGCAATTTGATTCTGAGTTCCAGCATCATCCTGAAATCAAAACCAAACTACAACACAAGAAAAGAAGGTAATTACGGACTGATATATTTTATGAATATAGATAAACTTCCTCAACAAAATACTAGCACCCAAATCCAGCAGTATTAAATAAGACTATACACCATGGCCAAGAGGAACTTACCCCAGACATATGAGACTGATTCAGCCCATGAAACTCAATCAAAGATAATACAGCATATGAACAAGGGGGGAGGGGGGAACCCCACATGATCACCTCAATAAATGCAGAAGGAGCATTTGACAAAATCTAACATTCCTGCATGAAAGGAGGAATAGAAGGGAAGTTTCTCAGACTGGTTAGAAGCATCTATTAAAGAAACCAAACCAAACCAGTTGCCCTTAATTAATGGTGAAAACCTGAATGCTTTCCCCTAAGAGCAGGAACAAGACAAGGATGAGGATTCCTGCCACTTTTATTCAATGATGTACTGGCAATTCTAGCTAGGGCAATTACACCAGAAAAAGAAAGAAAATGTATCCATATTGGATAGGAAATAAAACTATCTGCAGATGATCCTATCTCATATACAGAAAGTTCTCAGGAAAACATACATGCCAAAACCTACCTAAAAAACTATTAAAACTAATAAATGAATTCAAGAAGGTTGCAATATACAAAATCAACATACAAAATTAGGTTGTATTTCTATACATTAGCAATGAACAATTCCATTTATCTTAGCATGAAAAAGAAAAATACTTTGTGACAAATTTCACAAATGGACAATATTTCAACACTAAAAATGACTAAACACTGCTGAAAGAAATGAAAGAACACCTAAATAAATGGAAAGACAGTCTATGTCTACAGATAAGACTTCATATTGGATTGATGCTATTCTGAACTGTGTCCCCCAAAATATATGCTGTACATCCTAAACACCACACCTGTGGCTGTAATCCCATTTGAGAAAAGAAAATCCCATTTCTTGTAATGTTACCAAGGCCACATCAGTATAGAGTATGTCTTCGGCCAATCACCTTTGAGATATAAGAGAAGCAGACTAGACCCAGGAACAATGTGCCGGGTGGAGATCTCCAAGAATCCCAAGAAGGAGCTGAGAGAAGGACTTTTCCCCGAGAGGACAGCCAGCCTTCCCTCCGGAGCCAGTGCCCACAATTCAGACTTCGGGCCTCCTAAACCGTGAAAAAAAACCTGCCAAAGCCACCCACCTGTGGCATTTTTGTGACAGCAGCACTAAGAAACGGAAACAGATGTTATCATTCTCAAATTTCACACAAACCTTATCAAAATCCCAGCCATCATTTCTGCAGAAATTGGACAGGTTGACCTCAAAATTGGTATAGAGACACAAGGAACCTAGGATAGTCACAACAGACTTGAAAAAGAACAAAGTTGGAATACTCACAATCCTGACTTCAAAACTGACTGCAAAAACTGACTACAAAGCTGCAATAATCAAGAGTGTGGTGCCAGCACCAACACATATAACAATGAAGCAAAAATGAGAGCCCGGAAATTAACCCTCACTCTCACGGACAACTGATTTCCAAGGATGCCAAGACAGTTCAACAGAGAAAAAACCTCTTTTCCACAGAGTGCTGGGACAAATGGATATCCCCGTGCAGAAGAATGAAGCTGGACCCATACATCTCACACCATATACAGAAAGTAACCCAAAATGGATCACAGTGCTAAAACTATTAAACTCTTAGGAGAAAATACAGGAGTAAATATTTGTTATTTTGTATCAGGTCATGGTTTCTTTGATCTGACACCAAAAGCACAAGAAGTGAAAGAAAAAATGTCTCCAACACAGAACTCAAGAACTTACAACCCTACTCTCCAGAGAAAAATAGTTGCTTTATTACAATTCAGATGAGCTCCTGTATTCACTTCTGTTATTTGAGGGGTAAAAACAACAACACGATACATATTACTTTTTAGAAACATGTAATTATAAACACTGCACTCTCATGCATTTCATAGACAAGAACATAGCTTCCAGATGACTTCCTAAGTATTAAGTTAAAATTTACTTCATCTGATTTCAAAACATTTTGCATCTTAAAAAACATTTTGCAACTTAAGACAGAGTCTAAACATAAAACTGATTCCCCGCTTACAAATATTAACAACAGGGCCCAGAGAAAATGAATGACAAGTCACAATTCTATAAAAACTAGGTTACTGCAATGTCACAATCTGCGTTCACCAACCTGAGAAGGCTTGAAAAACAATCAGGATATTGCCTTACTATGATAATAATGCTTATGTATGTTGTTATTTACCCTTGAAAGTCAGACCTGACTCATAGCGACCCCTCCTTGGGTTTCCGAGGCAGTATCACTGCAGTAGTAGGCTGCCCAACCTTCCTTCCGAGGAGTGGCTGGTGGGTTTGAACTGCCAGCCTTCTGCTTAGCAATGCTTATATATAGTACACATAATTCTTAAAATTTGAAACATAAAAAAATCTTGGTCATCTAAAATTGGGCATAGGTTTTAAGAACATTTTTTCCTTATCAAATTTTATCTGTGTTGTCTGATACAGTAGCTACCAGCCGCACTGACCACTGAGCACCTGAAAGGTGGCTAGTGCAACCCAGGAAGTGAATTTTTAGTTTAAACTCACCCTTTCTATAGCTTCTTTTTCCTGAGGCGTTACTTGAATGTAGTTCATATGGCCACTTCCAGCTTCTGCAATTCCTCCACTGCCACCTCCACCCCCTCCTCCTTGACCACCAGCTTCTTGAACTGGTTCATTTAACATCTGAATAAAATGCTCCTGATGTTGGCTAATTTGCTGTGGTAAGTTGAAGGACAGAGAAAAATAATGCATTAATAAAAACTATCTTCAGGAAAATTAAGTATCCTAAATACAAACAAGAGAGAAAGCTTTAACTCTGCCACTACAGTATTTAAGTGACTGTGGATTACTTAGTTTTCAGAGGGATGTGATTTCTTATATATTATTAAAGAAACTCCGTGCTTTTGAAAAAGGTAAATAGTAACAGATTAAGAGAACCCATAAATGCCCTAAATCACTGTTAAAAACTACTTTGGAAGTCATTGCCCATAATTGTTGCCAAGTGTGTTGCATGAAATAATTTATTTTTGATTGCTATCACTAAACTATACATGTGAAAAATGTTGAACTGGTAACTGCTGTGTTATATAAAATTTTACAATGATTAAAAAATATGGGAAAAAACCCCTACTTTGGGATATAAACGGATAGTCATTCAAAAGACAGTATCTATTCTTTATACATATATTTCTATCCAAGTTAATAGACAGGACAATGCTATGCAAACCTTAAATACTTAATAATCTGAACATTCAATAAACACATGGCTATGTTTTCAAAGATGTAGTATAAATTTAAGGAAAGTGGAACAAAAAAAAATTAACAGACTTTCTCTTTTACAGAGCTTCTCAGATCCTTTAATACTTCCATGTGCATTGACAACCTCCAAGAAGGAAATATAAACTAGTTAAATGAACCCAACTGCCACTCACGCCCCAATTCTTGCCAATGTACCTAGAGCAGAACACTCTACTGAATGCAGTGTGGGAGAGGGTTTACAGAAAGCTCTCGTTGGTGGGGTGCCGAAGGACTGTTTCACAATGTGATATATTCTAAGCCCACTTTCAAATCAACACTGATTACAAAGTCACCTGCAGTAACTGTGGGTTCTCGCGACCGATCTGTTGTAGCAATGCTGGAAGCAGGGATGGGTTCTGTTGAATAATCTGTCTCATCTGTTGGAACTGAGGTTGATTGCGTAAAAATTCAAGAGGATGTCCTAAAAATATTTCAAAGCAAAGGGAATAATTACATATATAAATAGCTGGTTCAATCATCCATTTGAAAGCAAACAGTGCAAGTAAAATTAGGAATGGAGTTCTCGCATGTATGCAGATGAAATAAATTACTACAAAGCTTCAAGGAGTACCAACTTGCAAACCTAAGAGCAAGGCATTTATTCCTTCAGAGAAGGCTCCTGCACAGGGCAGAACACCAGGAGAACCAATCTTTCTGACAACTGCCCACTATTCTAAGGGTCAAAGCTTGGGCCCTGTATGTGCTCTATCACAAAAGAAAGCGCCTAAAATTACTCCCGCTCCTCAAAAGTTCCCAAGAAAAATACATAACAGAACTTACCAAAACCCCCACTTATTTCATGACATAACCAGAAACCCTCAAAGATAACAATCTGAGCTCAAATTCCTGGGAAATTCTAAATCAAACAAGTCAGAAAAAGATGTTTAATATGTATAAGCTCAACTTTGCAGATCAGAAGGAGTTTTGGTAACATAAACCAAATTAGAAAAAATTCTTTTTTGTGAAATTTCAAACACTTGAGATCTATAAAAAGTTAGGTAAGCTGTAAGACCATCTAGGACAGATACGTTTAGAGACCGTTAGTCAAAGACCCCTTAACAACGACACATTCTACTAATGCCAAGTAAAGCACAAGGTGCACAGTTTCCGACTCTTCAGGTGCCTGTCTGGTTACAGTAAGGAACCAAAGCTACGGTGATACTGCGGTGATGGTCATGAGGAAAGAGAATCTGGATGTTGTCCTCAATGAAATCATTCAGGAAGATAATCATGCAAGTTAAAGTGACCACAGCACAGGAGGCACGTTCTTCTTCTTTGCAGAACATCAATTTTATAGATGAGGATGAGATTTGGAAATGGAAAAGGACTCCAAATCTTATACCAAAGCTGTTGCTTCCTCTTTCCACACAAAGTGCTTAGGGGTTTTTGTCACCCACAGGTGAAACTTCTACAGTTAGAGCTAGGAAATGCATTGAAGAATAGCCTCTTCAAAAATCAGTTGAACTTACTTCACCAATATACAAGGACAGAATGAAGGCAAAGTGTACGTAATTCCTGGCTCTACCACGGGCCCTACGCTTTGCTTTGTAGCCAGACCTCTGACGATGGAAGTATGGGTGCTAACCAGTAAGGAGACGTGCATTCAAGTTTTTGTTTTACCTCTAGATACAAGATTTTAAACCTCTTGGGGTGTCACTTCCTTGTCTGTATAATAATCACAATTCTTCTGGCTGTGAAATTATATATAGTTTGTGACATTTATAGGAAGAGAAAGAGCAACGTGAGCAAATCATCCTGAATGTCTTTGCAATGCAACACTAAACATAATCTGGGAAGCATCTCTTCCTTGGAATGAATCAACTATAAAGAAGCTGTCCTTTGCCCAAACAGCAGCAGTGATGTGTAATATGAACAAAAGGTATGTTTTACACCCACTTGGCAGAATTTCTTTTGGGCCCCTCTCTAAGATTAATGCATGGGGAACTTATTTTAGGAGTTAATAAAATGTGCCGGCTGTGAACCTCAGCCCAGTGAAGAAGATGAATTCCTTTACACTAAAAATCCAGGATCATTTCTCCCCACTGTACACAATCATACTTTACCTCCAGAAGTGGTTGTTGTGGTTGCTGCCGTGGTAGTCGCTGCTGCTGTAGCTGCTGCTGGAGACTGAGGGGCCCCGGTACTAGCTGCTTGTGGGGGGTCAACCACAGCCTGGCTTTCTCTATCTCCAGGGATTCCCTAGAACACAATTTCCTAGCTTTAAAATATCTCATCATACAAAGTTCGTTTACTGAGTAAAAGACTTACCAGCCTATTTAACATCCCCACCTAATCTCTAAAAGCATCAAACATATGTGTGCTTCAATTAAAAGCAGAGTTACTAAGAAAGCAGCACATATTCCAATTAGGTCAGAAAGAGCCTGGAGGTCAAAGAGCTCTGATGGCTAGACTAAGGCACTGCTGCCCAGTAGACCTTCCCACGATCATGGAAAGATTCCACACAGAGCTCCTGAGAACCTGAAATACGGCTAGTGTTACTAAGAAATAGAATCTTTAATTTTTTTAAATTACATTTTATTAAATTTTAAATAATTTAAATGTCTAATTGTGACTAGTGTAGTGCCTAAGGCATTTGACTGCTAACCAGAAGGCTGGCAGTTCAAACCCACCAGCCACTCCCTGGAAGGAAGATAGGGCTATCTACTTCTGTTGTGAGACTGCCTCAGAAACCCAAGGAAGGGTTGCTAAGAGTCGAGTCCAATTCGACAGTACATAACAACAACAACAACAGTGACTAGTGACTACCTTGTAGACAGCACAGATCTAAGGTAACAAAGGGTTTTGTGTGTGTTACATGTAACTCCAAAGTACCTGGTAAAAGCCTATACTTAAACATTAAGTTAATGACACAACATTTAAAAGGTTAATTATTTAAAAATAAACCATCTCCTGATTTATCTACATGGTTAGGTTCCAAAACCAGGTTGTCATTATGTGAAAACTGGTGTTATGTGAAAATGGAGGATGATCACAACAGATCACAAAATGGAGGAAGACTCCGCCATGACACAGCTCCCAAACCACTGAGAGTCACGGTCCAGCCAAGTTGACATATAACCGTAACCCTCACAGCAGTGTTACTTTCACCTCGTACCTCTGTGTTCATTACTGCCAGATGGACATATATGGTGAATGTGAAAAACAGTTGGATGGATTTTTTACTACTGTCCTAAATGTGACATGCTGGATAATGAGATAGTTGATAAGTGAGGAAAGGGTACATGAATACGTATTTCATTAAAATTTAACATAATCATGGATTTTGTGCCATATATCACTTTTGATTTTTTAATTCCACAGAAACTTTTTTAAGCTGCTGCTCAGCAAAAGATTCTATTTGCAACTCTAGCCTTAAAATCATCCGAAGAGGTACTGTTGCATTTATGACAGCTTTTAAATGACCCTGAAAAGAAAACGTCTAATGGAGACAGAAGAGGTGGACACAACCAGGAGGATCTCTTCCACTAATCCATGGGTCTGAGAAAGTAGCATCTGGAAAATGTTGCATACAAAAATTAAACTAAAACTGTTGCTGTTGTTACGTGCCGCTGAGCCGACTTATGGCGACCTGAAACTATTATTCAAAACTCACAAAACTAAATACATACAAAGTAATTTAAATTATTAAACTTTCAAGTGATACTTTAAGGAAATTTGTATCATTGACCTTCAGAAGTTATTATCCCTTAAAACTGCACCAGCACTTTTGTTGTTATGTGCCATCGAGGTGGACCCCACTCATAGTGACCCCTCTTTGGGTTTCCGAGGTGGTATCACTACGGAAGTAGATTGCCCAACCTTCCTTCTGAGGAGTGGCTGGGGGGTTTGAACTGCCACTCTTCTGGTTAGCAGTCAAGTGGCTCAGGCACTCCGTTACCAGAGATCCCTTCTAGGACACTATTTTGACAGACACGACTCACAAGACTTCGCTTTACAAATTAAAAAAAAAAAAAAAAGATCTTTATAAAGAATGATAATGGACAGAGAGTAAAGGTTCCCTGAATGAGATGTCATCATGCCAGACACTGGAAACAGTATTTCTGAGAGAGTTCACCAACTCAAGTTCAGAGTTTGTCTTAGTGTGGTGGCCTGCATGCTGCTATGTTGAGAGAAGCTAAGCCAGTGCTGTTTCTAATACTAGTACAGTCATCCCCAGTGATTTTTAGACTTGGAGATCTTCTTCCAAATATTAGACAATGAAAACTTTAAAATCTTTGTTTTTTTTGAGATACGGATCTTAAACAATTAGAATGAGGAAAAGTAGAATACATTTCTTACCATTAACAGATACTCCACTGCTCTGTCAGGGTTGTTGAAACTGGCTCTTAGGGCTGCAATTACTTGCTCTCGTTCATAGCCCATGGACATGATCTCAGTGACCATATTCTCATAGGACTGACCTGTCACTGAAAAGACAATGGGGAGGAGAAAAGGGACATTTAATAAATAGTAATATAAAGAAGATTAGCAGTATAAACTACAACATATATGTGGTAGACAGAGTACGAGCCTGCCTGAGGACGGCAAGTCCTAGCCTCTAGGACCATCAATGTCAGGTTACATGGCAAAGACACATAAAGGCCACAGATCAGTGAAGGCTGCTTAACCAGCTGACCTTAAAATAGGGAAATCATCCTGGATTATCCAGGTAGGACCAATGTAATTCCAAGGATCCTTATAAAGCAGAAGAGGGAGGCAGAGAGGGTGAGAGAAATGGCTATGAGGACAGAAGCAGGGTCAGAGATGGAAGACGGGGTCCATGAGCAAAGGAATGCAGGGAGCCCCTAGAAAATGGAAGGGTCAAGAAACAGATTCTCTGTTATTTAATGACATTATTGGATATTATTTACTTTTCAATTGCAATCCTTAAAATAACATTTTAGAAAATTCTTAGTATTTAAGTGTAGTCATCTATATTTCCCATTAGAATAGAATGGCAGCAATGGAATATGCCGAAAACAAGCCTTTAGCTCACAGTCTCATCCTACTCCACACCTTCATTTCTGCCTGGGGCTTGAGTTTTCAGAGGCCTGAGTAGAGAGGGTGTGTGTGTGTGGGTGTGTGTGTAAGATGAAGAGAAGAAAAGCAGGTATGTCTGTCTATACACTGTATGCTGCTAAGGTAGTAAATAAATCAGTAATGCAGTATTGTCGGTCCAAACTACTCTTTGCACTACATTATTTACAGTAGTAAATACAATTATTTTTATACAGTTGAAAAAAAGAAAAGAAACAGATTCTCCTGTAAAAAACTCATTGCTGTTGACTTGATTCCAACTCACAGAAACCCTACAGCGCAGAGGAAACTTGCCCCATAAGGTTTCTAAGGCTGTGTATCTTGGAAGCAGACTGCCTCGTCTTTCTCCTGAGAGTGGCTGGTGGGTCTGAACCACCGACCTTTCAGTTAGCAGCCGAACACTTAAGCCCTAGTGGGCTCTGAGAGCTTCCATGAAGGAATGCAGCCCTGCTGACTCCCAGTGAGGCGCATATCAGACTTCTAACCTACAGAACTGTGAGACAGGAAGTTTTGACTGTTCTACACCACTATGTTTGTGGTAATTTACTACAGCAGCAATAGAAAAGTGATGCATATTTAAGAGAATTATCAGGGGATCAGTAAAGATACCCTAGAAGGAAAGACAGATACACTGACTTGTGAAAAACAAGTGGGTGAATCATTTCAAGCAATTAACTCTGCTGTAGCAAGTCAGCAGTTTTTGTTGACACCTGATGTTATCAAAACACTGGAGGAAAAGTGGTTTGGGAATAAAAGTTACAATCTTCCACATCACATGAAGTGGGTATAATGCAGAAGCACTATCACACCCGCCAGTCACTTCCCACAGGTTCTCCCTTAAACCCCTCAGCTCAAGACCGTTCCTTACCGAAACAAATTCAGACAACAGCCAACACTGAGGAGAATTTCCCACCACTGAACTTGTTTTTAGCTGTCATCAAGTTGGAACCCAACTCATGGTGACTCCATGTGCCGCAGAGCAAAACACTGCCTGCCTAGTCCTGTGCCCGCCCCGTGATCGGCTGGGATCAGACTGTTGTGGGCTATAGGGCTTTTACTGCCTGGTTTTCTTAACTAGATCAGCAGGCTTTTCTTTCTAGTCTGTCTGAGGCGGGAAGCTCCACTGACGCTTAGCATCACAGCACGACCCCATCCACCACTGACAGACGGGGGTGGCCCTGCTTGAGGCGCACTGACAGGGAATCAAACCCAGGTCTTTCACACAGAAGGCAAGAATTCTACCACTGAACCACCAATGATCTCACCATTAAACACACCTCATTTCAAGCCATCTCTTCTTTCTTACACTTGTGGGTATGCTCATTTTCTTTCTCAACTCTTCCTCTTCAAAGACCAGACCCTTACTTAACTTCTCTCTTCTCTATCTCCTACTCTTCTCTTTCCACTTAAGTATCTCAATCAGTAACTAACATGTCCTAGTATGCCATCCAAAAAACAAAAATATACTACCCCTGACCCATCCCAAGTCCTCTTTCAAGGTCTGGTCCACTTGGCTGCTCTTTTCCCTGCACAGTTGCAGCTATGCACACATACTCTGTCTACTGCCTCACATTCCACCCACTCCACAGCCAATCCCAATCTATGACTTTGGATCTCTACCCCCCACCCCAACACATCCTGCCATTGTCTGTCTTCTCTATTTTGATAATGGCACCTCTACCCAACCAAGTGCTCAAGCCAGAAACCTAAGGTGAATCCAACTCCCTTGTCTCTCCTTCTGTATCTATCAATATGCAAAGTAGTAGGTCTTAGCTCTAAATTATTTTAAACCCATCTAGTTCTCTCTATCTCCCCTACCATCACTCAAGACCAGCCTAAGACAGTATCTAGTCTAGATTACATCTTGTTACCACTCCTGCTCCCAGGTTTATAATCCATTCTTCGGCCAGCTGCACAAGAGAGATTTTAAAAGAGAAAAACTAAAGAAGGTTGGGCAATCTACTTCCGTAGTGATATTGCCTCGGAAACCCAAGGAGGGGTCGCTATGAGTCAGGTCTGACTCGACGGCACATAACAACAACAACATACCCATTTTGGACTTCCAGGCCTCAACAGTCTCCATCCACTATATACCAACCATATTCCTGGTCGTCTCCTGGTTACTTCAAAACGTTGTCCATTCTCCTGCCACAGAGTCTTTATATGTGCCTGCTGCCTTTGGATGGCTAGTTTCTGCCCATGCTCCAACTCTCAAAAGTTACAGTAGTGGACAGATATTGCCTAACCACCTTATGTAGCCATCCCCTCTCCATTCTTCTTTATGGAAACCCTTACTTGTTTTCTTAATATCAGTTGTCATGATTTGCAATTTATTTTGTTTCTTTCTAAAATATTTTTGCCATCTCTGAATGAAGATTCAACCACTCCAAGGGACTGCACTGTGTCAGTCTGTATCAGTTTCCCTAAGACACAGCTGATGCTCAATATGTGCAATAAACGATGTATTTCTGCAGGCTTTTCAATAATAAAGGTATTTAACAGTTATGAAAGTACAGCTATAAAACCTAAATCTCACTTAGTAAATTCTGCTTTTGACACTTCACCTTTTCCTACCCAATTCATATAGCACTTTTAACTGTATTTTATTTTCTTAGTTACCCATTGATATGATGTTAGCACAAAGCTACTAAAGTGGTAACATGCTTTAAGTAGTTTAGTTTCCAGAGACAGGGATCAGCTAATAGTTCTATAATATTGAAACTACACTATTTTAACATGGTGCTTCTCACTCCACTCTCACAAAAGCTTTACAAGATAGCTTTATTTTCACTTCCTTTTAAAGACGATGAGGCTGAGGCTTAGAGAGATTAGTAACTTGCTCAAGGTCTCAATGGTTAACTCCTGGTAGTAAAGACACCAACACAGGCTACTAGACGCCAGAGACTACATTCCTAGTTACTATGCAATGCCTTCTAAAATCATGTTTGCTAATGAACAAAGTTATAAAAATCAAGAAGAAACACCTGGTAGTGGATTGACACTTAGATCTTAACAAACTGAAGGCAAAAAATGCAAAAACTAGGGACAACAGATAACAGATAGAACTAATGAGTCTAGAGAGAAAGGAATCAAAAACCTTACCTTGAATTTATTTTCAAGGTATGACAAACTAATAAAGAGACAAATAATGACTCCACTAGATTTGTCTCTTATAAAGTTCACTTTGGCAGGGAAGAGACTAGTTAGAAGGGGAAAATGCAACTGTCTCAATGAGGCAAAGACGTGAACTAAGGCTCCGCAATGGCAGTAGAAACATATTTCAGAGACTTCAAGGAGGAATATCAAGAGGCTGACTGGTTCACAGAGCCAAGAGCAGCAGGGAGGTCAAGGAGGACGCCAATTTGTAAGAGCAGCAAATGGATGATGGTACGAGTAATTACAGAAGGCACCAAAAGAAAAGAATCAGATGAAGAAGTAAAAGGCGAGTCACTGAGAAACTAAGGAGTTTGTGAGGTTTGTAAGGCTGGCTTTAGAGAATAAGCCTGGGAGCTCAGAAAGGCCTGTACTAGAGCTAAAATTCCTGGAACCCTTCAAGTATATAGGTATATTTACCATTCTTATTGTCTCAACTTTGAAGTATGGTCTAAACAGAGCTAACCGTAGAAAAACCATACATTTAAGGAGCAGGTTAAAAAACTATAAAACTCAAAAAGGAACAGAAAAAGGTGCCAATCAGGACAAGAGTACTGTCACAGAAGTCAAAGAAACAGAGTTTAAAGGAGGAGGATACCAACTGAGACTGTAAATTAAAGAGTGAAGAGTACAGGGATCCTGAGACCAAAACGCTGAGAATGGCTGCTCTAGGAGATAGGAAGATGCAAAGCCGTACCACAGTGAAGCTGCTGTTCACGGTCTTCCAGGGTGTTCGACTTCCCTGCTTCTTCTCATCGTATTTCTAGTAATACAGAAGAGCACCAAAGGGCTCTCTTGGCAGCCTATACACCAACAATTAGAAGGCATAATGGGAATCCTATCAAAGATGTCACTATGGGAAAATGGGGGGCGGGGAAGGAATATGATTAATTTTGACAGATTAGGGGTCAGGGGGCATACAGAAAGACATCACTTAATAGATAAAATTAAAGTTGGGATAAAAGCATTTTGTTTCAAGTACAATGCAAGCAACCAGACGAATATGGGCACTGACAGGATCACAAAATGGAAATGAAAGTCAAAGGTGAACAAAGATGAAGGGTGAGGCTGATCCAGTACAATGTTACACTCATTTCAAGGACACTAATAAAACCATTAAAGTGTAATCAACACTAAAAGCTGTAGTCTTTGATCTTCATCAGGAAGTGCTTCAAGACTTCTTCACTTTCAGTAAGCAGGGTTGTGTTATCTACATACAAAAACTAACTCACTGCCATGGAGCTGATCCAACTCACAGTGACCCCTCCTTGGGTTACCAAGGCAGTATTACTACGGAAGTAGATTGCCCAATCTCCAGGGAGTGACTGGTGGGTTTGGGAAGTAGATTGCCCAATCTCCAGGGAGTGACTGGTGGGTTTGGGAAGTAGATTGCCCAATCTCCAGGGAGTGACTGGTGGGTTTGAACCGCCAGCCTTCTGGTTCCCTATCTATATACAGCAGGTTGTTAATGAGTCTTCCTTCAATCCTAACGCAGTCTTCTTCATGTAGTCCAGCTTCTGGGATTATTTGCTCAGCATAAGATGGAATAAATATGGTGAAAAATCAACAACCCTGATGTACACTCTTCATGATTTTAAACCATGCAGCATTCTCTTGGTCTGTTCATGGCTAACTCTTGGTCTACATACAGGTTTTCAGGAGCATAATTAAGTGTTCTGGAATTCCCATGTTATCTATAATTTGTTATGATACACACAGTCGAATGCCTTTGCATAGGCAACCAAAAAAAGTAAACATCTTTCTGTTATTCTTTGCTGTAAGCCAAGATCCACCAGCAATGATATCTGTTGTTCCACATCCTCTTCTGAATCCAGCTTAAATTTCTGGCAGTTCCCAGTCAATATAATGCTGCAACCATTTTTGAATTATCTTCAGCAAAATTTTGTTTGCATATGGTATTAATGATATTGTTTGATACTATCTGCAGTCTGTTGGATCACCTTTCTTTGGGAAGGGCACTTGAAGCATTTGATGAAGATCAAAGACCACATATAGTCTACAGTACGGATTACACCCCAACAGAAAGAAAACAAAAATCCTCACAACTGGACCAATAAGCAACTTCATTATAAATGGAGAAAAGATTAAAGTTGTCAGGGCTTTCATTTTACTTGGATCCACAATCAACGCCCATGGAAGGCACACTCACGAAATCAAGAGGACACATTACACTGGGCAAATACGTTGCAAAAGACCCCTGAGCAAAGATGGCACTTTGAAGACTAAGGTGTGCGAGACACAAGCCATGGTATTTTCAATAGCCTCATATGCATGTGAAAGCTGGACAATGAACAAGGAAGACCAAAGAAGAATTGATGCATTTGAATCGTGGTGTTGGGGAAGAATACTGAAAACACCATGTACTGCTAGAAAAATGAGTAAGTCTGTCTTAGAAGAAGTACAGCCACAATGCTACTTAGAAGCAAGGAGGTCCAGACTTCATTCCATGTACTTTAGTCATGTTTTCAGAAGAGACCAATTCCTTGAGGAGGGTATTATGCCTGATAAAATGCAGGGTCAGAAAAAAAAGCCCAGACCCTCAACAAGACGGACTGACAGTGGCTGCAACGACGGGCCCCAGCACTGTAGACTGTGAGGGTGGTGCAGGGCTGGGCTGTGTTTTGCTCTGTTGTACACAGAGTTGCTAAGAGTCCGAAGTGACTCGACAGGACCTAATAACAATAAATCTGTATACAAATTAACCCTTGTTATTATTTACTTTTAAATTCACATTTGGAAACAGGGAATCATTTAAAGAAAGGAGTATGCATAATTCTAATACTGTGTTTTAAAGGTTTCAATATATAAAATATTAACATATAAAGTCTTTAGTGACATATTAACTTACTGTCATAAGGTCAATCCTGACTCATGGGAACGCAAGGTATTAAGAGCAGAATTGCTCCGCGGGGTTTTTCTTGGTGGCAATCTACAAAAGCAGATCACCAGGCCTTTCTTTCACAGCATTGCTAGGTGGCTTCGAACTGTCACCCTCTACATCAGCAGCTGAGCACAGAACAGTTGCACCACCCAGGGACATATAACCCCTTGCAACTAACTTATTATCTAAATCATTTTCTAGCTTGATTATACTCAACTGTAAAAATAAATACATTTTCATGATCACAGAAACCTCTCACCTAACTCTTACAAAGTTAGCTACAAGGTAGAGTACATACTTACCAAGTGCACTTGTTGCATCTTCAAAGAGGTTTGACCGAGAAGAATCTCCTGATGTACTGTAAAAGGTTTTCAGAAAATCACACTTCAAAAGTATGTAAAACTTACACTAAGTTTACTAACTACCTAATTGACAAAGAGATTCTTTGATTTATTTTTTGTGGTAAAAATAAATATAACAAAACTTTTGATACTTCAAAATGTTTTCCATGTACAATTCAGTGCTACATCACATTCATCACGTTGTACAACCATTACCACTATCCGTGTCCTTTTTCCCCTATCATCCTTAATAGAATACTTGATTTTAATTAAATGTACAAGTCTGACTAAAATGTTCAATTTCCATCTAGATTAAATTCAAAAGCTTTATACATATTACTTAAGATTTGGGAAGAATTTTCAATCTTAATCCTTATTCTATTCAAGATCCATCATTTTAACAACCATATACATAAAATAAAATCCTTACAGATAGCTTATTCTATTTAAGAAATATTGCCCCCTCCCTAAAAAAGGATGAGAAGTTCAATAATCTATAAATCAAGTCACAGTAGAAAAGACAGCAAAAGGAGTACATGACAAAACAGCACACAATCAAAGTCTGCTTGAAAGGAGTAGGAAGTCTTTATATAGTGGCATCTCAAGGATGTCAAGTCAGTCTTATTGATAAGTTTTGAACAAGGAAATTGAAAGAGGAAGACATTCAAGTCAAGGAACACAGAGTAAACAAAAGTATAGGGGTGGGATAAATTCAAGTTCTAACCTAAAGCAGAGCAGTACAAAAAGACTAAATGTCTATTAGAGAATTACAGAATGTGAGACTCGGGAAAAAGTAGACAGACGAGATAATGGAAGACCATGAAATGCAGGCCTAAGAAAAATAAGTTGAAGTTTACAAAAGTAGTTAAGGTAGTAGTTAGCAGTTTAAATTAAAACACACACATACACACACACAACCTCTGTTCCAATTTTAAAAACACAAACACATCTGACATCAGTACTGAAAGCACTGTACCAGAGCAAAAGCAATGGACCTAAGTTTGAATTCATATATTTACTTAAACTTTCTAAGCCTCAGTTTCTTCATCAATATGATGTGGTCAATGACAGTATCTATACAGCCCACACTACTGCTTGCAAAGAACTCAGCAAAGTGCCTGGCATAGTAAGACTCTAAGTATGATCATGATCAAAATAATCCCTTGGTATATGGCTTCAGCAATGAGATAGTAAAATTAACATGTACAGAAGAAAAATTTCAAAAAGAACAACATACAGAAAAATTAACTCTCCTGGCCAAGCCTGGCTCTAGAGACGACTACTACTGTCAGTTTATATTTCAAAGAACAGCAGCTTCTAACTTAACAACTATTATATATAAGCACAACCAGACCTACTTCATTTTGTCCTACAGATGCACAGTACTCCATCCAATGGGTAAAATCAAGCTCTTGTTAAGGAATCTTGACTCTGCTCCCTAACTTTTAAATGCTTTCTGTAGTCAAATTTATCAACTTCTACATATATATACATTTAAATGATTTACTGAGTTACCTTGCTTAGGAAGGACTCCTCCAAGCTAAGATTATTTTATCTCTCCTTTGTTCTCCTACAGTTTACAGTTTCATTTTTACATGAACTCTTTATCCATCTAGGATTTATTATTCTGAGTGTAAGGTATGTGGGAATCCCTCTTTTTTTCCCTCAGAAGACAGGCATTTATGCTAAAGTTTTTCAGCCAGTGGTCTAAAATTATATCTTTATCTTATAAGGTCCTGTATCTATTTGAAATCCTCACAAACAGTCCAATAAATAGCTTCATGATGGATGGAGAAAAGACTGAAGTTGTCAAGGATTTCATATTACTTCGTTAATATCACTTCATATTACTTGGTTCTACAATCAACATCAATGGAAGCAGCAGTCAAGATATCAGACAACATATTACATTGGGCAAATCTGCTACAAAAGGCCTCCTCCAAGTGCTAAAGAGCAAAGACGTCTGTCTCCTTGAAGACTAAGGTGTGCCTAACCCAAGCCATGGTATTTTCAATCACCTCTTATGCATGTGAGAGCTGGACAATGAATAAGGAAGACCGAAAAAGAGTTGATGCTTTTGAGTTGTGGTGTTGACAAAGAATACTGAAAATAACATGGACTGCCAGAAGAACTAACAAATCTGTCCTGGAAGAAGTGCAGCCAGAATGCTCCTTGGAAGCAAGAATGGACAAACTTCATCTCACCTACATTAGTCATGTTGTCAGAAGGGACCATTCGCTAGAGAAAGATATCATGCTTGGTAAAGTGGAAGGTCAGCAAAAAAGGGCAAGGCCCTCAATGAGATGGATTGACACAGTGGCTGCAACAATGGGCTCAGGTACAGCAAGGATCATGAGACTGGCCCAGGACTGGGCAGTTATTTCATTCTGCTGTGCATAGGGTCACCATAAGTCAGAGACAACTCAACGGCACCTAACAACAACCACTTATTTGAAGGAGCCCCAGTGGTGCAGTGGTTACAAAGTGCTTGGTTGTGAACCAAATGTCGGCAGTTTGAACCCACCAGTGGCTCCATAAGACAAAGATATGGCAGTATGTGTCTATAAAGAAGTACAGCCTTGGAAACCCTATGGGGCAGGTCTACCCTGTCCTATAGGGTCCCTATGAGTTGGAATTGACTGGACAGCAGTGGGTTTGGTTTTTGGTACCTAGTTGGGTCTATTTATAGATTACTGTCTATTTCACTAAGTAATCTTTCAAATATGAACTATTCTAAACTGCTTTATTCATTATAATGTATAATACATTTTAGTATCTGGTAGGATAGCCCCCCTCATTACTTTTCTCTTACAGAACAATTTGCACCATTTCACACATTGTTTTAAAAAATTCTTTTTAAGCCTTACAGATAAGAGTAAAGTATTGCAGGTTGCTTTTCTCACTCAGTAACAAAACCCTTGAAACTACATTCATTTAATACATGTATGGTTCAACATACTTTAACAGCCCATAATATTGGATATCACAGCCTCTCAGACTTTAGTTTTGATAAATGCTTATTAAAATAGACTTGTAGGACCCATGCCCAGGTAATTCTGATTTAGAGATCTAGGGTGGTACCTAAGAATTCATTTCAAAAAAACTCTCTGGTGATGCTGATGCTACCTACTGGCCACCACACTTTGAGTTGCACTGTTTTCTAGTATGAATACATCACAAATCAGCCATTTCTTTCCTGATGGTTGTTGGTGTTGATTCCAATTTGTCCCTGATTATAAGTAATAGTCCTTGTCTCACTTCTCTAAGACAGAAACAAACAACAGAATTGGCACTGTAACAAGTTGTTTTTAAAGAACAAAACTGAACTAAAGGAACAAATCCCTAACAATAAAATGCCAGGCCAGCGGCTATGGGCAAACTTCCCAACATCCGTCAAATTCATACCAACATATCTTCCTGATAATCATCTCTGCACGGTTTGTGCTTTGCAGGATGCTAATGTTTTAAAGCCCAGATGAAGGAGTAAGGCACAATTAAACAGACTGTTTTCTGTGGTCCTTCTCTTCCTATGTCATCCTTCTCTGAATACGTAATTTTGGGAAATAAAAGTCAATGGTGTTCAAAGTCCCACTAAGTAAGGGACTCCAGTCCCTTTCTTGGATCACTGACCATCAACTCATTTTTGTAACCATTTGAACAGGTGAATACAAGTGCACCTCTAGCAAGAAATAAAAAGAATAGTGATTACAAAGAAATAAATTTAAACTGAGGATATGAGCAAATTAACCTCTTCTAACAAACACACTGATAAATTTTTAAATTCTCACACTTTTAATTGTGACACAATATCTCTATGGAAGTAGATTGCCCAATCTTCCTTCCAAGGAGTGGCTGGTGGGTTTGAACCACCAGCCTTCTGGTTAGCAGTCAAATGCCTTAGGCACTACACCGCCAGAGAAAAATAAGATAAACTTTACTGACAAAACAGATCTAATTAAGATTACCATGTTTAAATATTTTGGGATATCAACTTGTTAACTTGTAAGTATCCTCCCATATACAGAAATTATCAACAGCCCTTTTATATAATAACTCAACCTGACTCTGGGTAATCTCCTATTAGGTAAGAGAGTTAAATACATTTCCAGTTGCTCATGACAGAAATGGTTCAAGTTAGGTGATGGTATCCTGAGATGCCTAAAACAAAGTAGCTGAGCAGGCATAAGGAAGGTATTTTATTACCTGCACCTATACCCTCTGCTCAGGGAACACCGTCCTTGGAAAGAGGCCCTGAATGAACAGTGAACCAGGCGACTCAGCGCCTACTAGAAATGAAAACTATACCTTCAAGGCAAAGAACTGGAATGAAGAATCATCACTCTGACTGCCAGCGAAGACCAGCCACAGTTCAGTTCATGCTCATCAGGGAGGATTCCCCTGAATACTTCCAGATGGCCATCTGTCTATCAGTCTGAGCTCTTTCCAACCAAGTGAATCCTAACTAACACATTTCCATTGGTCATTTTTTTCATCAATGATAAAAAATAATCTTTGTTATAAAGTGCTTAATAATTCTAACCTGTCACCTTCCTACAAAAAATGCTTTCTTGTTCCCAAATACACTAGTACTTTGTATTCTTCTAAGCACAGTGTTAAACAGAAAGGAGACACTGAAAAGGCACTTGTTACCTGATTCTGTTCATAACAGTGTGTAGAAAAATAGTTAAAATCTCAAATTAACAGCCTTCATCATAGTAGTAAAATTTTAGATTGAAAAATACAAGAACATTGAAATAAATAAGTACAGTAAGTTTAATTCTTATCCACTCTTTGCAAATGTAGAAGTGTGACACAATATCCCATAAGTTATACACTTATTTTTTCCTTTTTTGAAAGATCTACACAGGCAAAAGCTTAAACATCTGTATTAAGTTCGTCACAAAGGTACTGAAATCGGTAACAGTGAAAAATCAAAATAATCTGCATGTCCAAAAGGTATTATGTGAAATAAACAGCTAACACTTATTTCGGGAGCTCTGGTAGTGTAGTGCCTAAGGCATCTGACTGCTAAGCAGAAGGCTGGCGGTTCAAACCCACTAGCCACCCTCCTCAGAAGGAAGATGGGGCAATCTACTTCTGCAGTGATACTGCCTTGGAAACCCAAGGAGGGGTCACCATGAGTCGGGTCTGACTCGACGGCACACAACAACACCACTTATTTCACTCTTCCTGTGTGCCATGTGCTATTTTACAACTCTCACCTTTATTGTTTTATTTCATCCTTAGAACAACTCTATGAGATAGATCCTACTGTTATCCACATTTTACAGATGATGGAAAAAACCCTAAGAAGTTAATTACTTGGCTAGAAGTTACAGAGCTAACTTCCAAACACAATGGTAAACTATTTGGCAAATGGAAACATTTGCTGACATGGAAGGATATTTATGATATAAATGACAATAGTCAGGAAGAATATAGAGATAAAATATAAATAAGGATGGGGCAAAGTATCGTTATTTTAGAATTCTTGTTCTTTCTGATCATTTTTATCTTCTAACTTTTCTACACAAAGTAAAAAATTACTTTGACCCCCCCCCCCAAAAAAAACAAGTACAGAAATCCAGATTATGGGATTTGTACTACCAGATATAAGCACATGTTTTAGTTAGAGTTTAAAATTTCAAACAGTTTAAGATAGTGGATAGAAAGTCAGTTTGAGTAAAATAACAATCAAAATAAATAAAGGCATGAAGTTCTTGTTACAAAGATATTGAGACACAGTGTCCTCCAGGCCAGTGCTTACCTGTCAGTTGATGTTGGACTAGCAGCCACTGGTGTTTCTGCTGGCTTCTCTGCAGGTTTCTCCTGTTTAGTTGCAGTAGCAGGTGCAGGTTCAGAAGATGTTGCTGTGGATGCTGCAGTGATGGATGCTGGTGTGGACGTGGGAGCCAAAGCAGGGGCAGGGGCAGGGGCAGGGGCTGGGGGCAGTGCCACGGCTGCTGCTGTAGAGGAACTCACTGCAGGAGTCGCGGCAGGGTTTGACTGCTGAGTTGTAGCTGGTGCTGGTGTTGTCACTGCTTTGGGCTAAATGCCATTAAAAAGCAAAGAGTCAATTATGATAAAGTAGCAAATTACTCTCCCATTTCTAATTAGACCATATTCTTAAAGGATGCTATAAGCAAAACACTAATACAAAGTTGTAACTTCGAAATAATTCTGTAAAGTAATATAATTAATGTGATTAATATTGAGAGTATGATTCACTTTATTGAATGCTTTCAAAGCCGATAAGTACATATATAAATTATCTTAAAAATACGAATGGTATTTACTCCTTTCTTTTCATATTCTAGGGGTCTTGTATCAGGCTCTGTATCTTTCTTGACAGTCAATATAATAATCTGCAGTTTATTAATACTATCCAAATCCAATGAACTCTAATCCTCAGAAAATGTGTCCTTCTAGATAAACTGGAGGTTCCTACAGGTGAAGACTTATCGACATTTAAGCACCAAAACTTTATCTAGATGAAAATATTTTTAAATGCATTGTATTTATTCCATATTTTCTTCATCATTTATAACCAACATACTGTAATACTCCATCACCTCAAGGTCTGTTGCCACAAAGGACCATTTAGCTTTAGACTAAATGGTACCAAGAGCTTCAGCTTTTTGAAGTTCTTCTGCTTGCTTTTGACACTGTTTTTTCCTGTCTCTTCTCTGTAGTAAGATAATTTATTCATAGTTCTATGGTGTAGCCCCCCTTCTCCTCATTACTGGACTCTACTATCATTAGTATCCTATGTAAAAGAATAAATGGGTTTTGAGTATCTATTCCTCAAAATCAAGAGTCTATTCTGGGGTCTACTCTTCTTAATTCTTAGTTATGAAGAATGTGCCCCTCACAATACTTAACCACATGAGACCAAAAGGACTGTATCTGCCCAAAACCAAGGGTGAGAAGACAGGCAGGGAACAGAAGGAATGGAAACAGGGACCCCAGGAGAAAAAGGCAGAGTACTGACACATTGTGGGGATTTCAAATGAAGTCACAGAACAATGTGTGTATCAACTATTGATAAAGAAATTAATTTGCTATGTAAACTTTCACCCAAATTGCAGTACCATCTTAAAATATATATACATATATAATTGTAACACTAACAGAAATAAGTTTAATAATGACACACGCCAGAATACGTGGTTATTACATTTTCTGTTAAGTGCGATGTATGCTACAACTGGACGGGACAAGACTTCCTCTCCTGCTTGTGTTCCTCCACATTTAAAATTTAACTCTGAAGGAGCAAATGCTTCAACATGGCAAAATCAATATGGCTCTTAATGGGTTAAAAACTCAAGCTGATATGTGTAAACTGCTCACTTTTTATTTCTAAGCAGGAGCTCTGGTGGTGTAGTGCCTAAGGCATCTGACTGCTAACCAGAAGGCTGGCGGTTCAAACCCATCAGCCACTTCTCGGAAGGAAGGTTGGGCAATCTACTTCCATAGTGATGCTGCCTCAAAAACCCAAGGAGGGGTCACTATGAGTCGGATCCAACTTGACAGCAGTAAGTTTGGTTTGGTTTAAGGTATGCCATTGATTAAAATGCATTTGTTTAACTCTACTTTCTATTACTTGTATCAAATATTTTGTAACTTAGAAAGAAAATAAAGCACACTCTAGTTTGGTCCCTGATGAACTGGTTTCACTCATTCAGAGTTCCAGGCAACATTATTCCCACTGGATACAATCCAGTCATGAGTATGATGGGCAGCACCGCACGCTGTCCGCCACACTCTCCATGACATGGCTGCTGCTGTTAGCTGCCAGAGCCAGAGTGCAGAATTACAGACCATTAAATAAGTAAGTTTATCAATCAAACAAAGACTCAGAGAGAATTCATTCATTCTCTGCTTTACAGGAAATTTTTCACTTGTACGAACCATCACATATATTTCATTCCAATAAATTACAAAGAAGTTCCAAGAAATATGACTGAAATGCTGAGTCTACATGTCTTTTCTGCATTGAGGAGTTTGTTGGACCTCACATATAATTTAGGAAGACCCTTTAAGGAACCTTTATTAAAAATTATAAAATAAGAAATTGAATTTTTTAGAAATTCAATTTCTAATAAAATACTATTTACTAATAATTATATAATTAGTGATTTTACTACCCAGGTAAAACCTACTAGTTTTTAACATGACATTTTACTACTGTATCAGTTGTTTTTAATCGATTTAAAAATTGTATTGAAACTACAACTGTATAAAATTATTAACTGTATGGTTGACACGAGGTAAATTCTTAAAGCCATTAATTGCAAGTAAGTGCATAATTTTATGTATGTGTATAAACTATGTTGATGTAACAGTGCAAAGGTTAGACTTGAGGTCTTTTTTTTTTAGACTCACATGCATGCATAAAGATATACAGAGTAAGGCTGTTTAAGACTCACATGCATGCATAAAGATACACAGAATAAGGCTGTTCAAGAGTCACATGCATGCGTAAAGATACACAGAGTAAGGCTGTTTAAGAGTCACATGCATGCATAAAGATACACAGAGTAAGGCTAAAACTTACTTTTGTCACCATCACCACCACGAAGTTTTTCTCATCAATTTTATATTCTTTGAGAGCCGTATCATCATTGAGGATTTTGCCTAACATATTAAGAGAAAAGGTGTTATTTAAGGCACAGTAATTTTCATCTTACACATAACTGAGTTAAAATAATTTTCTATTAATTAAATTATCACCAACTGCAATTCTATCAATTCTTTCTCCAAAGAAAAATCTGAACCAATAGATCAAGATAAAGATAAATATTTCCTCTAAACTGGCTCAGTCCTCTAAACCAGTTAATACTACAAAATCTCTGTCCAAGAAAAGACAACCCATGGGCAATCCAAGACCCAAACTATGGACAACCCCAAAGATTCATGGTTAGTATTTCCTTTGAAGAACAAAGAAAATAATTTTCCCCCACAAAATTCAGATGTCATCAAGACTATTTTAATATATATTTTCCTGGTTACTCTGAGGAAGGAAGACTGGCTAATCTACTTCCATAAAGATTTACTGCCTCAGAAACCCAAAGAAGGTCGCTATGAGTTGGAATTGACTCGATGGCAGTGAGTTTGGTTTGGTTTGGTTCCATGAGGATAGTTAAGGAGCTCTGCTGGTGTAGGAGTTAAGGCACCTGACTATTAGCCAAACGGTCGCTCCTCTGTGGAAGAAAGATAAGGCAGTCTGCTTCCGTAAAGATTTACAGCCTTGGAAACCCCATGGGTGTAGCTATGAGTCAGATCAACCTGATGGCAGTGAGTTTTATTTTGTTTGGTCATTTACTTAGGAGCCCTGGTGGCATAGTGGTTAAAGCGCTTGGCTGTGAATCGAAAAGGAGGCAGTTAAAACCCATTAGCTGCTCTGCAGGAAACAGATGTGGCAGTCTACTTCAGAAAAAGATTTAAGCTTTGGAAACCCTTTGTGACAGTTCTTCTCTGTCCTACAGGGTCCCTATGAGTTGGAATCAACTCAATGGGTTTGGTTCATTCACTATAAAGGACTACTACCTATAATGTCTTCTGACTTATAAGATTTTCCATATTCTTCAGCCAATTTTGGTAGTTAAAATAGATGCTCAGATGAAACAGAAACACAAAATCCAATTTTGTGATGCCTGCAAGACCAAATAAAACTAAGAACACTGAAAAGATCTATAGGATGTAGTCACGGAGGACATTAAGCTCAACTGGCACAATACAGTACACAAAAAAATTGTTCCACATCCTATTTTGGTCTTAAAAGCTTGCAAGTGGCCATCTGAGATGCAACTACTGGTCTTTCCTCATGCAGAGCAAAGAAGAGTGAAAAAAATCAAAGATACACGGAAACAATTAGTCCAAACAACCAATGGACCATAAGAACCTCAGCCTACACAACCCTGAGAAAAGAAGAACTAGATGGTGCCCAGCTATGCCAACTATCTGGAAAGGAAGAAAATTGGAGATCCTAGATAGAGTGGGAGAAAAAAACGTGGAACAAAATTCAAAAACATAAAAAGAGACAAGGATTACTGGTCAGATGGAGACTGGTGAAAACCCTGAGACTATGGCCCCGAGTCCCTCTTCAGATCTGGAACTGGACTCACTCCCATGGCTCTCAGCCAAACAGCAGAGGCCTACAAGTTGAACAACTACACCAAGGAGATGCACTCCTAGAACATAACCATGGCAGATCAGAAGGGCAATGTTTGCACAGGGAGAAAGCTAGGCAGGCAGGAATGCATAGGCAAGAAGAACACAGGGAAGAGGTAACCACAGGGAGGAAAAATAGGAGGAAAGCTGGTACAACACTGTAAGGATTATAATCAGTGTCATGAAACAAAATGTCTATGAACCACTGAATGTGAAACAAATCTGCTTTGTAATATTACACCCAAATCACACACACACACAAATCTATAGGATAAATGTGAATAAAGAGAAGATGGAATATTATTATCATAAGCAAATGACTGCTTTCTCACTGCTTCAATCTGTACTATCATGTTTCTGACGGAATCAATTTGTATACACTAGAAATCTTAGGGTAACCATTCCTAAATATCATGGTAAGTAAGAAATGGTACATTAACTTCAATATATAATCCATACCTGCATAAATTAATTTTTGGCCTGCTACCGGAAAGGCATCTTTCCCTTTTTCAGATTCAATCTTCTCCTTCAATGCTTTCACCTACAAGAAAATGATTTCATTAAAAAGGCTAAACAAAATATGACAGTTTAGAATCTGAAAAAATGATGCAAGATAAAATATTTGTATGTATTTTAATTAACAATGCTTCCCAAAACTCACAGATCATGGTTCCCAATATTATACTGAGTCACTGCTAATCCATGTTATTAGGTATAAACCTTGCTTTACCACCACCTGTTACATGTATGCAGATTTTAAAAAAAGGCTTTAATAGTTGATATAATAGATTATGTAAAATAAACATTTCAACATAAAAACATTTTGATTCTCCTCATGAAGTTTATTTCCCACATAGAGTAAGAAAGTAGTAAGAATGTTTCATGTGAAAGGCTCGATGCAAAAGTTAAAAAGCAAATGACTCCCTTGAATTTTAATGTTTATACTTATCTGGGGTGTGTGTCATGTGTTCACAAAAACTAATTAAAACAATCTCTTGAGTGTGGGTCCTGGATATCAGTATTTTTAAAAAGCTTACCAAACAAACAAAAATAAAATTGTTGCTATGGAGTCAACTCCAACTCACAGCAACCCTATAGGACAGTGTAACCTAACTGCCCCATAAGGGTTCCCTAGGCTGGAATCTTTACATAAGCAGACTGTCACATCTTTCTCCTAAGAAGTGGCAGCTGATGGGTTTGACCTGCCAACCTTTTGGTTAAGCAGCAAAACATGCAACACTATGAAATTCAGTGTTGGAAGCTCTGGTGGCATAGCGCCTAAGGCATCTGACTGCTAACGAGAAGGCTGGGGGTTCAAACCCATCAGCCACTCCTCGGAAGGAAGACCGGGCATTCTACTTCTGTAGAGACATGGCCTCAGAAACCCAAGGAGGGGTCGCTATGTCAGGACTGACTCGATGACAGTGAGTGTGGTTTTTTTTTTCGGTTTGGTTTTTGTATTAAAGTAAAGATGACCTAAAGCACTTATTGATGAAGACCAAAGACCACAGCCTTCAGTAGGGATTACATCTCAATATAAAGAAAAGAAAAATCCTCACAACTGGACTAATAAGGAACATCATAATAAATGGAGGAAAGATTGAAGCTGTCAAGGATTTCACTTTACTTGGATCCACAATCGATGCTCATGGAAGAAGCAGTCAAGAAATCAAATGAGTCTGCTGCAAAAGACGTCTTTAAAGTGTTAAAGAACAAAGATGCTATTTTGAAGACTAAGGTATCTCTGACCCAAGCGCGCGGTATTTTCAATAGCCTCCTCATATGCATGTGAAAGCTGGACAATGAATAGGGAAGACTGAAGAAGAACTGATGCATTTGGATTATGGTACTGGTGAAGAATACAGAACATTCCATGGACTGACAGGACAATCGGAGCTCTGGTAGCGTAGTGCCTAAGGCACTTGACTGCTCACCAGAAGGCTGGCGGTTCAAATCCACCAGCCACTCCTCAGAAGGAAGGTTGGGCAATCTACTTCCATAGTGATACTGCCTCAGAAACCCAAGGAAGGGTCACTATGAGTTGGGTCCAAATCGATGGCACATAACAACAAGAAGCCAGAAGAATGAACAACTCCGTTTTGGAAGAAATACAGGTGGAATGCTTCTTAGAAATGAGAATGGCCAGACTTCATCTTGAGGGTAAAGTTGTGGTGAGGAAGAGAGGAGACAGAGAGCGGGATAAAGAAAAGGTTTATTCTGCACTCCCAGGAGAGGTTTATATAGTTCCATTTTCTCCCTCCCCAGTGGACCTGAGTGGAAGCAGAAGGAATAAGGTGGGAACCAATCAGGTAGAAGCACTTCATTAGCATAATATGGGGAAATAGTTGGGGACTGTCTATAGCCTTAAGGGAGGGGGGAGGGCCTGTGCTGGTTCCAGGAACAAAGGGCTATCTGCATCCCGGGTTCGACATGGGCTGCAGTTAGGTTCTTTCCTGATTGGCCAGTTTGTAATTTCTTCTTGCATGGTCAGTCAGTTTGTAATTTCTTCTTGCTCAATCCTTCACCCGCCTGACTTGCCAGGTTCCCGCCTGATATTGAGTACTTTGGTCATGTTATCAGGAGGGACTAGCCCCTGGAGAAGGACATCAAGCTTGGTACAGTAGAGGGTCAGTGCAAAAGGGGAAGCCCCTCAACAAGATAGAATGACACACTGGCTGCAACAATGGGCTCAAGTATAGCCAACACTTGCAAGGATGATGCAGGACTGGGCTGTGTTTTGTTCTGCTGTACACAGGATCCCAATGAATCAACATATGTGGTGTGGTTTAAAATTTTAAAAGTGTAAGAAATCCTCAATTTACCAATTCTGTGTTTCATTCCTATTTTAAATAATTTTATGCTGATATTTCTGATTTTACCTACCCATTCACTCAATACTTAGAAGTCCCTGGGTGGTGCAAATAGTTAAGCACTTGACTACTGGTTCAAAGGCTGGTAGTTGGAAGCCACCCATAAACACCTCAGAGACAGGCCTGGGGATGTGTTTCTGAAAGGTCACAGCCTTGAAAATGCTACAGAGCACAGCTTGAATCTGACACACTAACAACAACAAAACTCAGGACCTCATGTCCACCATTCACTTACCACTGTATGATAAGAGTGGGAAATTTCCGAAATAATCTTTAACCTTTAAAGAGCATTTAGTTAAACCTATAATGCCATCAGATCTAAGGCCTGGAGCAGGGATTCTCAAAGTGTAATCCAGGGTCCCTGAGAGTTCCTAAAACCCTTCAGGTGATCAGTGAGGTTAAAACATATTCTTTGCCTTTTATCACCCTTATGATTTCATAAGTACACAGTGGAGATTTTCAGAGGCTTTATTACTATGAAGCATGTGAGACCACAAAAGACTTACTGCAGAGGAGAATTCAGCTACTTTCTATCAAGCCAAGCATTACAGATTTGTTAAAAATGTAAAACAATGTCAGTCTGCACACTGCTATTTTTTGTTTTGGAAAAGACATTTTCACAAAAATATTATTAACAACATTTAAGAGGCTTATTATTTTAAATAAGCATCTACCAACAAATTTTCAGCCTTAATTTCTTATATGATCAAGTTTGAAAACTAATACTCAATTTACGTGAAGGCAGACCATATTCAGAGTGCTCTGTGGTGGAGAATAAATCTCCTTCCAAATTTCTTTTTTTCTTTTTTTGAGAGAAAGAGATGAAATATTTGAAACTGTAATCACTTGGTGATAATCACAGATGAACCACAGCCAACTGACCACATGTCACCATGGGTGAGCAATGTTTGAAAGTACATACTGGATGCTCAATTATTACTTGTTCAATAAATAAATGAGGATTAATTAATTAAATAGAAATATCTGAAGTTAAGAGGAGGGACAAAAAAATACATAAGCAAGAGTCTCACTTCTTGACAGGTCACAGTAAGTGTAGTAATGAAGACCAATGTGATAAGATCTATTTCTCTAGCCAACAGAAATGATATCCTTATTCCTAGCACTCATGGGATATTTATTCTTAAAATTTAGGCTACAAATATTATATTTCAAATAGCCTAATTCAGTAACAGATCCATTCTCTAATTTTGTATCTCAAAGGAAGGTGGGCAAAAACAAAACAAAACAAACAGTGTTGCCATCGAGCCAATTCTGACTCACAGTGACTCCACAGGACAGAGTAGAACTGCCCCACAGGGTTTCCAAGGCTGTAGGGGGAAGCAGCCTGCCACATCTCTCTCCCACAGCGCAGCAGACCGCTTCAACCAGCTGTGCCACAAGGCATCCTCGGGGCAAAACCAAATCCCTGTAAAGAGGTAGAAGCCTCACCAATCATTTACTCCTAAACAACTTTCTTTTCAAGAAATCAAAGTTGCAATTAAATGTAAAAACATAATGAAAACTACACACATCAATATCTGTAAGATTTGGCGAAAATAGTAACAGACTAACACTGAAAATATTACTAAAGAAGTAAAATTAAGCATGCAACTCAAATAGAAAGACAAGACAAATAAAAGGAAAAATGCTAATAAAAGCAGAATCCAAGAAAGGTAGAATAAAAAATTACTGTACCAACAGAAAATGTCCAAACGAAAGGAACAGGTAATTCACAATTACAGAGTAAATAAGGCAGTGAAAGTTCAGCCTCTTTAGTCATCAAAAGCACACTGTCATACACTGTTTCAAGCAATTCTTGGTGTTAACAAGTGTGAAGACACCCAAGTTCAGAGTGAGAGTATCAAAGGTTAAAATTCTCCGAGGGCAACATGCCAAAATGCCTCAGTATTTTCAAAGGGGTGGGAGAGTCTGCTCCAGCAGTACCACTTGAGAATGTGGCAAAGAAAACAACAGCTGGCACTGAGTTCAGAGACCTATCCAAAATTCTGGCCCTGCTCTTTAACCTCAACCCCGTGGTCTTCACTTGCCGTCCATTTAAGTCATCCACTCATAGGGACAGGATGAATCCTGCCATCCAGACACTGCTCCACCTTCAAATTCTAAGTGACTAATTCCCTATTCCCACCAGCTCTATTGGTCACTACACCTGATCTTGACCGCTAACCAGAAGGCTGGTGGTTCAAACCTACCAGCCACTCCTCGGAAGGAAGGGTCACTATGAGTCAAGGCTGACTCAACAGCACATAACAACACATCTGATCTTAAACCAGGAGCCCTGGTGGTGCAGTGATGAAGTGCCCAGCTGCAAATGGGAAGGTTGGTGGTTTAAACCCACAAGCTGCTCTGAGGGAGAGAAATGTGGCAGTCTGCTTCCATACAGATTTTGCAGCATTAGAAATCCTATGGCCAGTTCTACTCTCTCCCACAGAATCGCTGTGAGGCATAATCGATTTGATGGCAATGGATTTTAATGGGTGGTCATGAACCTCACTAAGACCCATGTGGTGGTGTTGTTATGTGCCGTCGAGTTGGACCCGACTCATAGTGACCTCTCCTTGGGTTTCTAAGGCAGTATCACTACGGAAGTAGATTGCCCCATCTTCCTTCTGGGGAGTGGCTGGTTTGAACCGCCAGCCTTCTGGTTAGCAGT